AGGCTTAGACCTCTTGCCAAATAGTGAGCCTGTGTTGATGTATGACAACTATGTTAGAACTGGTTTATGAATGGTTCTTAATGATTAATAAAGTGTTTACAACCTAATTCATAAACTAATTATAAGCCCTTTATGAATCCTTTATAAGGGTAGTCTTATTGTAAAGTGGTACCAGGGGGCCTTTTCTTTTCTTTTATTAGACAGTGTACATAGAGAGATACAACAAAGGTCAACCAGACTTTAACCACAGATGTTGCAATGTAGCCTAAAATTCTGAAAGGGGTACTCCAGCCATTTACTTTTCCTTTCTTTTTTAATTTTTTAAAGACATTACATACTACACAAGGGGCTGCTCATACAGTTATACTCATGATCCATTCCGGACGTTATTAGGACATGCATGTTCACTGGTAATACATGTTTTATGATCACATAAACCCAAACATCACAATAATAACCTGTGTAATTATACAAAACCATGTTCAACTTTCCTCTAAAAACAACAGACATATTTTAAACAACTGAAACATGGACTAAGTCATATTTCTTATGACGGGTCAACTGAAAATCATATGTGAAGTTTGTCATGTGATTGTCTTGATAGTCTTGATTGTCTCAGAGCTCTTGCTCAAGAGCAGATCAACAGTGCAGAGGAGGAAGAAATGTACAATTCTGCTTTTCTTCACTTTGACGAGTTCTGTAATGAAACCGGTTTGCGTGCCTCGCTCCATTGCACTTTACTTTTGTGACTGTAGCTATCTTCTTTTTTGTTTACCAGTCAGCGAGCGACCAACAGTTTCAGGTTTTACAGTGTCAGCTTACTACTTTTCCATCGTCAGATGACACCTCAAGAAGGCATGCAGCGAAGGTAGAGCCTCATTTAATAAAATATGTCTACACTGCAGTCTGTGTGTTTACTCCATGCATGTTTGATGACAGTCTTCAGGCATTCAATTCTGCTGATGTAGTGCCTTTGTATAGGTTTTCTGATGAAGGGAAATAGTATCAGGGCACATTTGACACCCAAGGCACCTGTTGTTTGTGGCCCTGGTGGCGTGTTTGGTTCTTATTAAAGGACCGAGAAAACATCCCCATTCAATTTATTTTCCCTTTAAATCTCAATCATCACACCTGCTTCTCTGTCTCACGTGTTGGGTGCTGTTTGAAACCATGGGTCTTTATCAGATCAGATTTACTTACAGTGTTGGTTTGCAAGGTGTGTCTTTGTGAGCGAAAGGTTGTATGAAAACTACCTGGATTTTTAAGCATTTCCCACATTGAAAGTATTTTTGTTTTAATGTTTAGAATGATATTTTATAAAACAGTATTATATATTGTTCTGCAAATTGAATGTGGCTATACTCTTGTAAACGACCAAAGCTTTCAGCTGATAAAATGAAACTGGTAGGTTTTTATTCTTCACTTTTAACAGTTTCATCTCAGGAAGACATGTCCTAATGTGAGAACAATAGAGTTAATGTTTTTTGTTCAACTTCAAGGGAACAGTGTGAGGCTCATTATCCCGTCAGTTCCCGGGCAGGGCGGGGATTGGGACATGAATAATGTATCTCAGTGGGAGGGGACGGTTTCGGGGATTGAGTGTGTTGAGTTGTGTGCGTCACGCTGCAAATTGAAAACCGAGGACATGGACTGAATGCCTGTTTCTACCGTCACTAGAGGAAGTTTTCATGAACCGATCAACAGGTAACACTGATTTTTATCACTTTTATCCGAAGGTAAATGCAGTGTCATGTTTAAAATAGCCTACTTTTGTTAAGATATATAACAATTGGATATAATGTAGGCTATTAATCATTTATGGTATGTTATTGGGCTACTGTCTTTATTAAGGTTTAACAAACCATTTATTTTGTAGATTTTCCACAATATTTGTATTCTTTGACATTTAGCGCTCAGTGCAGACTCAGCAGACTGTTTAGACTGTGTTTGTGTTCAAACACCGGCAGAGCAGGGTTATTACGCGCGTGTCTATAGGCAACATGCACAGGATATGAGGGTGCAAATGCATACGGGCCAATATTCCTCCGTGCTTTGGCGTGATCACATTGTGCCCTGAGGTCTGATCGGTTAATCTCAAGCCTCAGCATGTTAGAGGAATGAAGGTAGGCTACCTGCTGCCTCTGAAGGTGCCACGGAGCATTTTCCTCACCTGAATCATCAGACCTGAGCTTTGTATTTCTGGCAACAGTGCTCAAAAAATAACTTAATAGGGCTACTTTTTCTTTCCTGCCACCAGCTCAGGCTTTGAGAGTGGTGTTCCCAAAGGAGCATCCCCATGTGTTTACTGCGCTGCTCCCTCCGCGATTATTTACCTTCACTAATGTGTGCAAACACTCGGTGCACTGTTTTCCATGGCTGAATTGCAGCAGGTCATACTCTCTTTTGATCTTCCTACAGTCCATCTGTAGTTTTTTTTTTGATAAAGAGGACTAAAGTCACAGGCAGTCTGGCGTCAGCTGTGCAAACTGAGCTCAAATCTCAGCACAGCTCAAGCAACAAGAGGTGACAGCGCACAGCGAGGTTCCCAGGACTGCTCCGACCCACTATTGACCCTCCTTTTTTCTCTTTTTAATAAGCATTAATGTATATTGATCAGATCCGGATTTATTGTGTGACTGTTAATCCAAGGACCCCTGATGGGATTCTCCAGATGGTCCTGCCCTAACTCCTAAATAGGATTTGATTCTGATAATGCAGTTTGTTTCTAATAGTTCTGAACCAAAAAGTGCGTTTTTCCTGTGGAATTCTGCATTTTTAATTGTGTTAAGTGACTCATATTTGCACGGAGATATCACATTTATTTAAAGATATGTCTTGAAGCATTGAAAGACACATTTGAACATGAGCTGCTATATCTCATGATTTCCATTATGCAAAACAAAAAAGCTCCTTAAAGATACTCTTCCTTGAACAACTGCTGCTGCCCCAGTTGTTTTTCACTGAAATGCAAATCCCCAGCTCAGGACAGCTTCTTCTCCCCTGGGAGGGACACGCAGTTTGACATAGATTTGTCTCATTAATCAGCAGACCACCAAAATACACCTTCTCTTGCTTTCTGTAAGCTGTGTGGGCGAACATCTGCTTTCTGCTGTACTGTTCCTAAGTGTTTCTGTTTTCACTTTGTTACAGATGGGCTTGTAATAGTATTTGTCATGTTGTGTTATCATAACATGGAGCCTGGTATGGTGCAGACAGCGCCTGATTTATAGCCCCTGGTCACAGTGAGCCTTTCAGATCCTCCCCTTACATTTGCTCAACAGGCCTTAAATGTTTCCTGTTGTGAGATTAAAGCCTCTCTAACATCTCACTGAGGCAGATCTGCTTTCTTTCATCGGTCTGGCTTTCGGTGGATATCACCAGAAGTCCTTTTCCCCCCAACAAAGACCCATTAAACACAGACGATGGAGTGTTGAACGCGGTGTCAGTGTTTTATCGCATTAATCATCTACTGATTTGAGTGTTAGTAACAAAGCAGCCCATCCAGTGGAAAATACAACAAGGACATAATGAGGAAATCTATTGTGAGAGAAGGCTCACAATAAGATCATTGTCTTGTTTACTTGTGCGTGTCTAGATCACAGATGATGCTCTTTCTCTTTCTTATTGTCTTTACCTATGCTGACTGACTACAGCATTTGGTTCTTAGGTGTTAAACATCTGTGGAGTGAATTAGGAAGAAGCTTTTGAGCATTATACACACAGCATGCCTCAAAGGAGATTAGGGTTCGGTTCCTGCCCTCATGAGATGCATTGATTCTGGACCTTTTGCTGTTACACCCACATACAGTAACTTGAACACTGATTCTGTGAAAATACACAGAGGAGATAGAGGGTGTGTTTGGTAAAGACAGAAAGCACAAACCCTGTATTTTGTGAGAACATGCTCAGACAATAGTCAATTGTGGAATCACAAAATCTTAGTTTTTTTTTACCGCGTTCATAAAGATTTATTTTATTTCTTGATTTTTCTTGCAGTTTTTCCTCAAATAATCATACGTGTTATTAATATCATCCAATTAGATGATTAAATAAAGTAGTCAAGTGAAAATGGCGAACACCAAACCTAAAAATGTTCAGTTTACTATTTAGTAAATCAAAGCAAATCCTCACAATTGAAAAGCTCTAAACCAGCAAATGTTTGGACTTTTTGTTGGATTAATACTAATTGAATATGAAAAGTATTGTTGATGAAGTGTCTGTTGATGATTCGACTAACTCTTCAGGCAGGAGTAGATTTTATAGTTACTCCATAAGTGCATTTTTGCGTTAACCTTTTGTCATTGCTTGGTTATCTTTGCCATTTGGGTAAAAACTGTGCAGCAATTAACCTCTTGTGAGCTGGCACCATGGCTGATTTAGGAGTTTATCACTTCCACTTGAGCCTTCATTTCCACACCCCTCATTGTCTTTCCCTCCCTCCCTCCATCCACTGACTCTCCTCTCCTCTTCCTCCATCAGCAACAAGCATGGCTGGGAATCCTTTCCGGGCCACCTTTATCTGGAGCAGCATCATCTCCAATCTCAACTCTCGGGTGGAGGTCAAGCGCCGGCGGCACAACCTCAAGTCCTACCCTGACTGCTTCCTGGGCTCAGATGCCGTGGACGTGGTGCTGGCACACATCACGCTGAGCCGTTTCTTCGGTGACGAGGAGGTGCCGCGCTACAAGGCCGTCCGTCTCTGTCAGGCCCTCATGGACTCCAGGGCGTTTGAGCCTGTGGGCATTAAAGTATTTGGGAAGGAAAAGAAGACAGCCACATTTGAGGACAGTAGCTTCAGTTTGTACAGGTTCCTGAGCCCGGCAAACGTCTCTCCATCGTCTCTGACCAACACCAACTCTTACTCTACCAGCACCATCGAGAGCGGGTATGACTCACCGGGCATGAACAGGAACAAGAACAGTCCATCGTGTGAACGGTACAAACTCATGTCACAACATCTTTAGATCTAATTTTTGATTTGCTTTGTTCTCCTTCCTCCAGAGCTAATCTAGTATAGATTAAACAGGGTGCCGCTGGAAACTAGTGAGGCATGACCGGGGTCTCCTAAATTCTTATCATGCTGTCATGTCTTGATACTCTTACATTCCAATAACCCTCATTACCAATGTGCGGACATGAGTTTAAATACAGATTTGAATTAGCAAAATCAAAAAGACATAACAGATATAAATCCACAAGGCACTTTCCCTTATGTGCCCTTATAGTGCCTAACCAAAGTTAACTGATCAAAATGATATAACTTGTTTGTTTGTTATATAAAATCTGTAGATGTAAAAACTATTATTTATTCATCAGAGGTTCTGTGCTTCTTGGCCGGCTTTAGGTGGTGAGTTCAGGAAGTTTCTGAGCCCAGACAA